GGCGGTAATAATCCCATTATATTTTGGATTTAATCCAAAAATTATTATTCTCCTCATCCTCGTCTCAGAAATTGCATTCTGAGGATCTAATTTTGCAATCTCATTGCAAATTGATTTAACCTTAGTAAAATACTGACTTACCGCCATGTCACCTTGTCTCAGTGACATCAACTCGTTTTCTAGCAGCTGCAACTTAGCATCATTCTTCTTTGTGAAGAGTGTTTCTAATGTATCCCATGCCTCCTTCGGTGTCGTTAGATCCTTGATCCGCTGCAAGAACTCATCCTCCACGGAGATCGACAACACGTACAAAGCTTTTCCACATCGAACCTTCCATTTCTTTAGATTTTCTTCATCAGTTGGTGGAGTCGTCTCACAGCTTCTGGCAATTATGTGGTATTTGGGCCAAAAGATGTAGGAGTGTATCGAAGGTTCAAGCCTATATGTCCTACAATTATGAAAGGAAGGCGATTAGAGTCTGTCTATGTAATGTCAGCACAAGAGGCATACGTGAACAAGGCAAGGAAGAATGAGACAGCAGATCTATGGCACGCGAGACTTGGACACGTAAGCTATAATCGATTAAAAGCAATGATGAAACAGTCCATGCTAAGAGGCTTACCAAACTTGGAGATGCGAGAGAATGTCGTTTGCGTTGGATGACACAAAAAAGAAAAATCAGGCTTAAACGCAAAAGCGAAAGAAAACGCAACAAAAAGACAAAAATACATATATACAAGAGATGTTTCCAGAGTTCTACACTCGAATTCGAAACAGAAAGATAAAGCAGAAAAAATTTAGCTAAGCCATTACAAAATTAGCCTACTCAAAGGCATTCTCGCTGGAGCTGTCCTTGACATCATCCTCCCTTACCAGCTTCCCAAAGCGGACGACCTTCTCCACATGCATAGCGGAGAAGTCAAACCCCGACGCAAGGAGCCTGGCCTGGCGAGCGGCCTTGAGGAAACCCCTCTTATGCTCTACCACAACAGAGTGCTCGGTCTCCTCGAGTTTCCTCTCAAGCCCCGTTTTGGCCTCCTCCAGCTTCGCGAGGTCCACCCTCAAAGCGGCATTCTCCTCCACTTGGCCGCCAAGAACCACCTCGTCGTAGAGACGTTTCTCGGCCGCCGCCACCAGCTCAGCCTTTTGTGCAGTGACCTCATCCTCTAAGGCACGCATACGAGCTCGGGAGGAACTGGAGAGCTCCTGCAAGTTGCGAACCTGAGTAGCATAGGTCTCGTTCGACCGTAGGAAAATCCCCAGAGCCTTCCGAAGCCTCTCCACCTCCATCCGAGTAGCTTGAAGCTCGGCTTTGTTACGCAGCTTAGCCTCCCCCAGAGCACCTGCCAAGGCCCGGTTCTCGTCCTTCAAAGCTTTGCTCCCCTCCCTTAGGGCCTTGGCTTCTTCCTTCAAGGGCTTAACTCGACCCTTCAGCCTGGCCAGGTCCTCCTGCTGCTTGGACCACTTGTGCTTCCAGTGGTCCACAAAAGCCATAGTACTCTGAAGGAAGACTTGAGCAGCGTCAAAGCCTTCCACAGGCCCGGCCTCCTCGATCATCCCCTGATCCTCCGAGCTCAGCGTGCCCTCGGGGAAGAATCTTTCGGCGGTCACCCCAGCGCTCCACAGCGAGTTCATGTCGGCCGAGGCGCTCACATGGTCCAAGCGCACATCAGAGCGACCCTTTCCGAACCGGTGAGAAATATATCGGCTCTGGGAAGCCCCCTGTGACGGCCCTGACGATGGTGCAGAGGCCACAAGCATAGTCGGAGGGACCTCGGAACTTGGCCCCTTGCCGCGAGCCGTAACAGAAGTAGAAGCCGGCGTCCCCTGCTCGGCAACAGGGGGGTCCACGTCTGGCACCTCCGACCTCGAAGGCACCGGGGTCTCGACAACGCCCCTTTCCTGCAAAAACCGACCTCATGTCAAGAAACAAGAATCTAACATACAGGATAAAGGGAAAAGCGAAAAGCGAGGTACTCACCTTGGCAGCCTGGACGACCTGCTCAGCAACCAGGACCTCCACCTCGGCAGCTACCCCAGCCTGCAAAGAGAGACATCACCTCAACAAACCAAGCCAAATCAACATAGAAAATAAATTAATGCACAAAACACCTACCTCGGCAGAGGGAACAACTTGTTTAGAAGTCCCTGCAACAGCCACTTGGGGAACCTCCCCAGGCGGAGGGCTCCCAGTGAGATCGACTGCATTGGCATATGCAGCCTTGGAGGTCACCTCCTCCATTCTGCGAGGGGCAGAGGTTTCCCCGATCTCTTTATCGCCCCTCTTTATTTTTCGGTTGACCATCAGGGGGGAAACCTCCTCCTCTAGAGGCTCAGGGACCTCGAGCTCGGTCACGTTGTAGCGGTGCTTCAACTCGCGCCACTTATTCCTGCCCATTATGCCTACAAACACAACATACTGAAGCACATCAGAAAAAGGATTTTCACAAACCCTAATAATCTAAAAAGAGGGCGAACTACTCACTCTCCAGGCCCCTCTCCCTGTATGCTGAGTTCGCAAGCGACAGAACGAGCTTGCAATCCAGCGGACGAGGAAGCGCTGCGAGATTCTCAACGGCGGCCGCCTCCGAAGCCGTCAGTTTCAATTGGCCAACCCCATGAAACCTGGACGGTTCGGAGCACCAATAGAAAGGAAACTTCGGCAGCCCGCCGAAGTAAAATGCCCCATCCTCCAATGGGTCGACACCCACAAGAGCAACCCGGAAAAACTCTTGCTTGAAATTCTTGTATGAGTGGGCGTAGAGGGTAAACAAACCCCCATCCCTACTCCCGCTCAGGGACAGTATGCGATAAGGCGGAACGCCTATCTTCAACTGATAAAAATGAAGAAAAACGGGAAGGGACACCTCTACCCCTAGCACTGAACAGAGGACTTGTAAAACCCTCAAGAAACCCCAACTATTGGGGTGCAACTGGCAGGGGGCCGAGTTGACAAAATTCAAAAAATCACACTCAAATTGGGTGAAGGGAAGGCACACACCTAAATCCCTAAAAAAATAATGGTACATATAGAAATGGGGAGAGTCAGTGGACTTCCCCATATATACGCCCTCTCCGACCTGACACGGTTCAAGACGGATCATTCGGGACATAGAAGGGTCACAGATTCTGAGGGATCTCAAAACCGCATTGACTTCACGAAAGGACCGAAAAACGCTTTGGGCCCCCGCCATCTCGCGCCGAACCCAGTCGTACCCAGGAATTCCTGGAACGAGGTCCGATGGCGGAGCCACCTCCTTCTTTTTCGCGACGGT